CGACACACACACACACACGCACAATATATATATATATATATATATATGGAAAAACATTTTTATTTTGGCTTGTTGTTTTTATGGTTGTTTATTGTTTGTTTGTTGTTGAGTATGTGTACCACTGTTTCATTGTGTTGATGCATAGACATCCAAGATGTGTAGGGAGCGATAATGCGCGCCGAGTACGTTTTGCCGTCATTAGGACGTCTAATGCGTCGTGTGTACTGATACAGCTACTTGAAGTGATGGTTCATTGCTGTAATCTATGTGTAAATATGCTCATAGTGTACGTAAACATTTACATAGGGTACTTATTCATTTTTCATAGTGTATGTATACATTCTCATAGTGTACGTAAACATTTATCATAGTGTACGTAAACAATTCACTAACAGCTCGTTACTTCGTCTCTGGTCAGGGTGGTAGGTTAGCCATGACTGATTTTGTGTTTCAAAGTCAGTCAGACCAAAGCTATATCAGTCTCCTGTTGCTGAGGTTGTGCTGCTGGGCCTTTTCTATTCCGTTCGATAACGTTATCAGCGAAAATGAATACAGAGACCAACTCAAGCGAGTCAACTTCCAAGACATAACAATAACTGATGTCTCAGATAGCGTATTTCCAGGTATGTATATATATATATATATATATATATATATATATATATATATATATATATATATATATATATAATTTTGCCGTACACACATGTACAGGGTACGCCTATGTGTCCGTAGTACGCACCCATACGATCGGTTGCTACTGATTTCATCCACGGTAGACTTATATTGTTAGATGTGACTTACACACACGCACGGACACACCCCACTACATCGTTGTCTGCTTTTATTTGGGGTTAAAATAATATTAAATAAATTTAGCGTCTGTTCTGCTTGGTGTTAAAATATAAAAGAATGATTTTGGCGTCTATCCCGTTTGGTGTTAAAAAACTAATATTAAATATTTTTGGCGTCTGTTCTGTTCGGTACAGGATTCTACGACTTTGTGGGATCGCACGAACGGATGTTGGTCGATGCGGGTACACACTCCGGCTTTGCATTCATACCGTTCAAACTGGTCTCTGCTATGTTGTACTACGCCAGCCTGTACCATGTGGTCCGTTTAGTATGTATAGGCGCCAATAAGAGATAAAATGAATAAATCAATACAACAATAAACCAACAAGCCTAACAAATGTACGCTCGAATATTGTACAGACGCTACTGCTCAAATCCCTGCATGACATATTATATATATATATATATATATGTGTATATATGTATATATATATATATACATTCATACATTCATACATATTATACATATATTCGTATACGTATATATATATATATACATATATACATACATACATACATACATACAAACATATATATATATATATATAATATGTTGGCGGAGGGGGGGGTACTGATAGTATTATGTTAAATTCATCTTTATTCGAGCTTTGTTCCTTATTGCTCATTCCAGTATGTATACTCTGCACAACAGCCACCGTCTCGGTGCTTGCCAGAGGCAATCCATAACTCTCATTTAATGTTCATCAAATATATATATATATATATATATATAACATTGTACAAATTTATGTTCATGTGCTAGAGGAAAGCAATCAATTACCTTTTCCATTTTTCTTATGCTTTGTCCCTCATTTAGGTAACTTGTACTTCGGCTGAAGCTATGTCTACTCCACTGCTATTGTCGCCGGACATGGTATGCATGTATCACAACCAACCGACTTCTAACCTTCTCCCTGGACTCCGTATCCATGATTCAAGGCGCCAATGGGTATTCAAAGACTCACACAATATGCATATGCATACATATATCTCGATACGTCTTCAGTCTGCGTGCCTTCGTTCCTTATCTACTGTCCGATGGCCTAGAGTGCCCTGGCTGAATGGCATAGACACATTATCACACGCCGTGGTTCTCCTCAACTGTCATACTGTAGGGTTTAGGGCTCGGCTTTGGATACTATGGTACCTGTCTCTGCTATTCGGCTCACACGGTAGTATATAGTCGGAGCAATGTTTTTCCGACAGTCTATTACCGGTGTACTATCATCCTGGATTATCAGATGTGAGTGAGTGATGTCTTTGGTCGAATTGGCGTACTATAGCAAATAATCTACCTGTCTACAACCGTTGTATGTTGATATGACAGACTAACCTAACACGAGGTGTATGCCTCTGCACATCGGCGTGTGCGCACAGGACATCCCATACGTGTACGTAAATGAATATCCCCGTAAATACACACATATGTGTACACGAATATACGTATACGTCCATATACATATTTACATTTAACTATACATGCGAGCCCTCATCCTGGTACGGGCTGCCGGCCAGCGTCGCCCAACAAACCCGTAAAGTCAAACGCACTCTTCGCAGCCATGTCATGCCGTGTAGCTGTGGTGTCTGCCGCCGATTGCGGTGGATATTCGGTACTCGCATCCCTCGTCGCATTACCTACCACCGTCTCCGCCTCATCGCGTGTGATAGCCCCCATTCTACGGCCCACCACAATCCCCTCCGAATGACTCATACGGTGTCTGGTGAAGGTCAGCTCACCGCCCAGTCCACGGTTGTGCTGCCCGTTGTTACGCTCTCCGGCACCGCCGTTGTCCATGGCCGAGTCGCAGTCACGCATCTCACGACGGGATGTACCCGGCGCCAGGCTATGCGAAAGCGTCTGTGGCAAATGGCCCGACACAGTGCGTGTGCTGGACCGGTCCTTGTCCTTGGCGGTCGGGGCAGTCTTGAAGGCTGATACGTGTGAGGTGGATGGTGTGACGGTTAATGTATCTACTAGCTTACCTACCATGGTCTCCTCGGGGTATCTAGGGGTCTCCATGGCGTGGCTGCTGGTATCAATTGGGGCCATCGCACACAGTGCAGAAGGCCCGAACACCTCCATATTGCGCTGGTGCTGAAGTTCGGTACTATCACGCGTGGGGGTGGCACTGCCCCCGTTCCGGCGGCCGGTGGTGAAGTTGCCGCGCAGATACGACACAGCCTGTCCTCTGTATTTGTCCATTGCCGAGTCGAGCGACGGAGATAAGAAGTCGAAATAGCGCGCTTTCGCCGCGTCGTGGGGGTACACCTTCTCGCCCTCCAGATCCAGGTTGCTTAGCAACCGCGCAACAGCGGCCGATTCCTCAGCCACAGCGTCGGTCTCGTTGTGGGCGTCGTCCGCGGAGGAGAGGTTCTCCTCGGGTGCATACGAGCCCGTACCGAGCTCAGGTGCATACGCACTCTTACTATGAATTGACCCCGACCCCCCATCGCCCGGCGAGTACGTGCCGGTCCCATGCAGAGGTCCGGGTCCGGGTTCGGGTCCCGGTTCGTTCGACATAGGTGCAACAGCACTCTGTCGGATGAGAAGACTATCGGACTTCTCCGGCTGAACGGTAGCGGTTTGGCCAAAGCCCAGTCTGGCCGTATCGGGGGTGGCGCTGCACGACTCACCTCCGATAGCATTGCCATGGGATGCTTTCCCTCGGCCCATCCCGGGCTGAGTGCTATCGCTCTCTATGGCACCTACCAGCCCCCGAGTATATAGCACCCTTATCCCTGTCCATAGGGTCTATCTGTCCTGGGTATAACACCCTCCTATCACTCTCAGCCTGTCCCGCATACAGCACCCGGTCCACAGCCGATGGGGCTGGGTAGTGTCCTGTTTTGCGAGCTCCGCGGAAGAAGGCCACGCGATGGAAGCGTGAATTCGGGTTGGATTCCTCAGTCGCCACCAGACTGGCGGCACTGACTGGGTACCTCGTATACTCCGGGTCCGAAGGGGAGAGGGGGCTAACTGTCTGCGACAAGGGGCTTACCGGTGGGCCAAAGATTGGGCCCCCGGCGTCAGCCGATACTGGCGGTGGATACACAAATGTTTCACGTCCCGCTTCACGTCCCGGTTTCGCGTTGTAACGCCCCACATGCCCATGCCCAGTTGTCTCAACCACCCGAGGCGAGTGTGTGGCATTTGCATTTGCATTCGCATTCGCACGCTTCACCGTACCGTCCAGGTCGAAGCCGGTCCGATACAACGCGGAAGTGGGTGCAGTCCGGGCAGTGGGTTGGCTTTTGACCCGGTTCACCTTCGCATGCGACAAATGGCGCTCGGCGTACACGTCCTGCGTGGCGGCGGTGCCGTACGGAAGTTCGGTACCCGGCGTTCCGAAGCTCGGCCACGATATGAACGGCTGGGTCATGCGGCGGGCGTCCTTCACGCTGTCTGTTGGACCCGCGGCCTTGGGCACCCGGTCCACACCCGCCACGCCGAAGGCGGGTGGATGGCTGTAGGTAGATGCGCTGGTGTTGTGGGTGAGCGTGAAGGTGTCTCGCAAGCCCTCAGAGGCTCCGCCACCGTCGCCGGTGGTGACTGTGCCTGTGCTGTTATGGCAGCTGTAGACACCTGCACGAGTGCTTGTTACGACGGATTGTGTTTGTGTTGAAGGCGATGTGCTCTGACGGCGTATCTGGCCGGCATGGCGTTGTTGCGGTTGCGGTTGCTGGCGTGGTTGATATTGCAGTTGTTGAAGTGGGTCACCGTTGGTGAGTGTGATAGTGTTACTGTGGGGATGGGGCTGGGTGTACACCGCTGGTAAGCTGCGAGAGATACCGTTGCCCAGCACCAGGTTGTTCCCCTGCGCGAACTGATGCACGCTGCTGGGGTCTGAGAAATTGGCAAAGGCATAGGCATCTTCCGGTGATACGCCGGACGTTCGCGCGGGTGCAACAGAGTCACTGTAGTACCGAACTTTGCGCTGCTGGGCGTAGAAGTAGGTCAGCGTGTCCGGCGAGGATATGCTCCGCTCTCTCTCTCGAACGATGGCGGGGTTACGGTAACTGATACTATCAGCATTGGTTCCGAACTGGCACTCACCCTCCCCTCCCAACCCCGAACACGAGTGCTGCTGCCGCTGGTGTTGTTGTAGGCGTTGATGTGCCTGCTGAGTCGCCTGCATTTGAACTCGCACCTGAGCCTGAGTTTGGGTGTGATGGAGTTGTATCTGTTGCTGCATATATTCTGTAGGTATAACGCGCACATGTGCCATTCCGCACCCCCCGGCTGGACAGAACTCCAGGCCCGGTCCACAACCAGAATCCTGGGTCATTGGGACCGCACTATGGGCCACAGGGTAGGCACAGTTGATCTGCGGGGACATCCCGTCGGTAGCGCTCGGTGCCGTGCACGTAGGGAGAAGAACCGTACCTTTGTTTGAGCAATTCTTCAGCGGGTGCGGATGGGTGCTGACGTGGGTGCTGCTGTTGGTACCGCCACTCAACCGCCCCCCCGAGTTCCGCATACGCTGTGCCTGAGGTGGGTTGTACGCGGTAGACTGGGTCGCCTGTCGGCTTCTTCCTGGCTGTGGGGGGTTGTTGGGGGGACCTCCCTTGGGGCCTCTAGCGCTGCGAGACGTCGACTGTTGTTGGGATTTGTTGCTGCAGTTATTCGGCTGGTTATGGTGGCCACTGCTCTGCTTGTGGTGGGCCTTACTGGTTGCGGTGGTGCTGCCCTGGGCCTGTTGGTTATGGGCGGGTGGTTGCAAGGCCACTCCCTGGTGGTGGCCACACAGAGGTTGGTGTTGGTGGTGAGTTAGACTGGAAGGTCCCAGATGCGTGCAGTTGGCCGGGTGCCCATTCACACTCAAATGGCCCGACGCATGCTGCTGCGATTGACTTGCGGGGTGCAGGGGTCCGCAAGCGCCCGTGTGTGCCTGGAACTGGGCGTGGTGTGGCGTAGGTACCGGTCCATTGGGTAGCTGGTACAACTTCTGGGCAGACTGTACCTGCACCTGCTGCATACTGGTCGGGGGGAACCCACACAGGCCCATCGCACAGTTGGCCGTGCACGGTGTGTGTTGGCCCTGTTGTACTTGGGTGTGTACCTGTGAGGACAAGGTGTTCTGGTGCAGTTGTACCTGCAGCTGGTGGTGCAGCTCCATCTGGGCCTCCTGCTGCTGTTGCGTATGCACACAGTCCGCATACGTTCCGTCTGAGACCATCATGGCACCGCCGCCGCAATCGTAGCCATGGTATGTCACGTCGGTGCGGTGCTTCGTGAGACCGCTCTTTGCATCGCATATATGGTCCGGCTTAGCCGCTTTGTCCACGTCTCGACTGTCATGGTTGCTATGGCTGTCTCGGGTATCGTATGCACCGTATCTGTGGGTTGGTGACGACAGGCTGCCCGCCTCCAGATACAATTTGTACCGGTCCAACGCCTTCAGCAGCCGGGTGCGCGCGCCCTGGGCAATCATACCCGCGCGAATCAACCCATCATCCCCCATCTCCAACAAAGTCGAGAACGCCAGATGACTCAGCATCATGGTGTACTTATGGAGGCGGATGTGTCTGAGGAATGTCTGAGTATCGCAACCACTCAGCCCGGCGAATTCCAGCAGCTCCACGGAATGCCGACGTCGTCTGGCCGCGGCCATCTTCTCCTTGGCCGAGAGTTTCCGACTGTAGTTAACTGGCGCTGGGCTGTGTGTGTGTGTTGGTAACAGAGGCTGTCCCTGCCCTTGACCCAGTCCCCCGTGATTGGTGCTAGTACTATTCGACTGAGCTCCGTACGCCCCTCGTTTACCATTGCTACTCACATACGGCTTACTACCGCCAGCATCCGCCGGTTGGTGTGAGACGTCCCGTCGTGCGTGTGTGGCCAGTGGGCCCGATTTCCCCGAAGGCTCGTAGGGGTATGGCTGCGACTGTGATGCGGTGTCCGGCTTACCCGGCAGGATGATACTGGTCAACGGTTCTGGATTACCGATTAATTCGTCATCACAATCACTACCATCCGACTTCCAGCTATAGCCGCTCTCGCTTTTGCTTAATCCGTCATTGCTTATTTCGTCATGTGGGCACGCGCACTTACTATCCACCACCTGCGTGCCACAGGCGTTGCACAAGGTCGTTCCCGCCTGAAATGTACGGGAAAACGCTTCTGTATCCATATCCTCCCATATCGCAGGATGGGTGTACGAAGCTGTGCGTGAATGTGTATGCGTGTGACCAGAATACCCACCGTGACTGTTGTAGCTACTATGAATCGTATGCGACAGGTCGTCGTAACCCAGAAAGCCCCCACCGCTAGGGCTCACATGCTGTGATGAGGTGCGAGACACCTCACTCGACGAATTGGCCGAGGACAAAGGGAATGCCGCAGAATCATAGTCGTGGTATGCAATACTAGACTCATCGTGTAAGCGCCGGCTATCGTATAGGTACGGCGTTTGAGTCGCTGCTACTGTACTCTTGGACGCGTGCAATTGACTCCGACTGTCTTGTGACTGTGGTTTTGACTGTGTTTGGGAGTGTCGACTATTATGATGATGTTGCCGATTGGCGGGTGTGTTTCTTTTCTCAAGACTATTGATACTCTTGGACGTGACTGTGGCATTGGTCCGATCACTCTTACTGCCACCCAGCGGTAAGGACTTATGTAAGTCAGCCATACTATCGGGAACATCTGCAATAGATGCATTACTCAACGTATTCAGAGTGTCTCTGTCCCTTTCTGCAGGGAAGGATATAGTAGACCTGTGATGTAGATGCTCGTCGACGTTGTAGTTGCATCGCTCGACATATCGTGCAGTTGGTATGCCATCAGACAGACGGAGATCTTGACAACCACACTCCGCCGTGCCATCTAGAGCCATATTCAACTGGTTATAAATAGGCAGATGTGAATGATAGATAGACAGACAGATAGATAGACAGACTATTTAGAACACAAGCAAAGTGTGCGGTACTACCTTGGATATTAACTGCGGTGTGCGTGCGTTTTCCGTGTGCCGAAGTCTAAGTATTTGAAGACCCTGTCTGCGGTCGTTTAGTCTAAATGGCTATTCGTCTAGTTCTGGCAAACGTGATTAGTACAATTTGATAGATAAACTGGATGATCATTTGATGTTATATCCGCTATAGTAACTTATGCGTACACCTGATGATATTGGGGAAACCATACACACTTGGAAGCGGGATATAGCTATCTGTGTAGCTACTTACACGACTTACATACACACGCTGCTTGAAGTGGATGTGTGAACGTTATTCATACTATATGGCATATGTTATTAACTACTACAGCCAGAGTGAAGCTAAAGGCGTATTTAGCAGTAGGTTAGGCTATGTACTAGCGATAGCAACTAGTTAGCCATCTGAAGATACCAGTACCTGCAGCAATACAGTAGTCTTCTGGCTCTACTAAGCTATTCGGCGCTCTCCAGTCTCCTCTCTGTCACCAGTAGTATAGGACCCAAAGCGTTTTCACTTTTTCGATAAAATATAAATAGACCAAGCAGAGGCTTTTTTTTTTTCGGCTTCACCATCGATCACCTCCAGTAACAGTAACAGTTCCAAAGATATGGCCAATCCTAACTCTCTTGGCCCACGCCCTACACTCACAGAGTCATAGAGCCACAGAGCCGGTACTGGAGGAACGGAGTGGGTGTGTCATCTGTCGGAGTTCCTGGGATCAGGTCTCTGACTCACTATAATCTATTTTGTTCTCAGTTTATTACTGTATAGTCTCCGGAGACTGGATACAGCACATACATAAAATACACAAATATTCTCTCCGTCTCGTCTGATCTGTCTCGCTGTGTCTTTGACCAGTGACCACTGACCACTAACCACTGTCTCACACAGCCTGCTGATGTCAATCTGAAGATATTCCAAGTGATGTTACTCGAATCCTGTTGAATTATTGAATCCTATTGGAGGATAGAATTGCTTTGCGTTCACATATACCACAATCAAATCAGACATGTTGCATATAAAGCCTCATGTTGCATATTAGCTCTAATATTACGTTATCGTAGTCTAGAGAGTACACGCTTAACGTATATATATGAAACTGAAATATTTTAACGATACAAAGACAAAGTGGGACAGACAGAATTTAACCTGTACTCATATATAAAAGGACTACATAATTAACGTACTGAATATATTGTACCTCTATTTCCTAAAATTGCACCCATAAGTTTATATACGGAATCAAATAGAAATAAACGTTGTACGTAAATAAAAAAAGTTATCGTATTTTATACGTTTTAACGTATAAGGTAGTGAGGTAGTCTCGGTCACTTTTTCGTCAGTTCCGCAGATTTCATGTTCATGCCAACTCGCATAGTGTTTACGATAAATACTGTGTCGCAAACTACAATGTTGGATTTTATATAAAATATATAAGAAAAATATAAAAGTACTTGAAAAAAAAACTCATGATCACTTTTTGGTACATACCTTGTTCCAATTTTTATATCCCATAGCAACCGACCGAGCTTTTTTTTGTCTAAATTTGGAAGGACGGCGCGGTGAATTTATCGCCATCATACGAGTATATGTGTGTCACTTTGTCAGTGTGACAGTATGTGTCAACGCTCTGTGTCTCTGGACTCTGGGAGTCTGGGCTTAAAAATGCAAAGTCAATCGATGTGATCTATGTGTAAATTTATATACATAAATTATGTATATATGTATATGTATATGTATATGTATATGTATATGTATATGTATA